TAATAAGTGTGTATGCATCTGGAGAAGAGAGGATTGTAGAGGAGAGAGAGAGAGAGAGAGAGATTTTAGGAGATGTTAAGTGAGTGCGTAGGAACTTTTGGGCCAAGTGAGTAATTGTGGTAGGAGACCTAAATGTTAAAGTAGGAGAAACATTTAAAGAGGTGTGTGGTAGGTAAGTTTAGGGTGCCAGGTGTAAATGATAATGAGGGGCATTTGATTGAACTTTGTATAGAAAGGGGTTTTTGGTTATAGGTAACACATATTTTAAGAAAAAGAGGGTAAATAAGCATACAGGATATGATGCAGGGCGTAATGACAGTACTTGTTGGACTACATGTTGGTAGATAAAGACTGTTGGGTAGATTTCAGGATGTATATGTTTATAGAGGGGCCACAGATACATCAGTTCACCTTTTAGTTTGTAGCTACAGTGAGAGTAAAAGGTAGATGGGATACAAGGAAAATAAAAGTAACAGGTAAGAGAGAGGTGAGGGTTTATAAGCTAAAGGAAGAGGCAGTTAGGGTAAGATATAAAACAACTCTTGGAGGATAGATGGGCTAGTGAGAGTATAGGCAATAGAGTTGAAGATGTATGCGGTAGGTTTAAGGATGTAGTGGTAGTGTTCAGCAGAAGTTTGTTACAAAAAAAGTGGGTGTGGGAGGGAAGAAGTGGGGTTGGTGGAGTGATATAGAGTAGTAAGAGAGAAAAAAAAAAGCATATGAGAGGTTTTTACAAAGTAGAAGTGATGCAAGGATGGGAGGAGTACATGTAAAGGAAAAGAGAGGTTAAGCAAGTGGTGAAGCATGGGGGGTGAATTTACAACAAGGAGAGGGCTGGAGGCAGTAGATATGTCGTATCTGAGGGCAATGTGTTTGGGGTGAATATAATGCAGAGAATCTGTAGTTTGGAAATTAGGAGGAGGTGCAGGATTACCAAAACTATTATCAAAAGGGTTGAAGAGGGGTGGTTGAGATGGTTTGGACATGTAGAGGACGGAACAAAACAGAATGACTTCTAGAGTGTATAAATCTGTAGTGGAGGGAAGGCGGGGAAGAGGCGGCCTAGGAAAGGATGGATGGAGTTGGTAAAGGAGGTTTTGTGTATGAAGGGCTTGGACGTATTAAATAGGAGCAAACGGAGACAAATGGTTTAAGGACTTTGACGTGCTGTTGGGTGTGAGCAGGGTAATGTTTATGAACAGATTTAGGGAAACCGGCAAGCCGGACTTAAAGTCCTGGAGATGGAAGTAACAGTGCCTGTACCTAAAGGATGGGTATTAATGTTGCAATTTAATAACTGTAGTGTAAGTACGCCTCTGGCAAGACAGTGATGGATTAATGATGGTGTCGTACCACACTACCTTGACGGGAAACGGCCGATGTTTTAATAAATAAATTTTATATATATATATAAAATATTATATATATATAATATATAATATATATATATATTTTTATATATTATATAATATATATATGCAAAACAACCCCTCTGAAAGAACAGAGAAATTCCAAGCGGGGTTCCCTGACTACTCACATAAACAAGGAACTATGAAAGTAAAGCTCCAAGGGAAACTATATAAGGGATCTGGCCAGCACCTCACTATCAGATCCCACAACGTTAAACACCTGACGCGCGCCGACCCAACTTGGTTAGGTCCATGGCACAACTCACCCCACAAAAATATTCTACCCAAGAAAATTTGGTTGAAAATTGGTTGATATGCCTTCTCTTCTTAAGACTTTAATATTAAAGTTGTATTCAAAAATCTTTATACAGTAAAAAACTTTTGATAAAGAATTCCCCCCAAAATGCTGATGGATGTGTCTATAAGTTGACCCTTTGTAAAATTTGCGTAAAGTTTATTACGGTCAAACTGGTAAAAATCTCGAACTAAGAACTAAGCATTAAACGGGACAAGTTTCCATGCTCTATTTATTCATGTAAAAAATTTTAAAAACCATCCAATTGATTTTCAAAAAGTTTGAGAAAGTATTATCAAGCAATTTCCATGGTCGACAGGAAAAATAATTGAATCTTGTTTCATAAAAAGCATTTTGACAATAATATGAATATTTCCTTTGGTTTATATAAATTAGATCCATTTATAATTAACAGAATTTGGGAAGAATTTAATAATACACTGGAAAAATAATTTTTAAATTTTCTTGGGGTAAAATTTATTTGTGGGGTGAGTTGTGCCAAGGACCTATCCAAGTTGGGTGGGCGCGCGTCAGGTTTTTAAACCCGTTGTGGGATCTGATAGTGAGGTGCGGGCCAGATCCCTTATATAGCTTCCTTGGATGCTTTACTTTCATAGTTCCTTGATAATGTGAGTAGTCACGAAAGCGCTTGGAATTTCTCTATTTCTTTCAGAGTGGTTGTTTTTGCATATTCTGAAATCAACCTGTTTACTGTGATCTTATTGCATATATATTATAATAATATATATAAAATTAATATTATATATATTTATATATATATATATATATATATATATATATTCTTAGTTTTAATTCTATTTTTTTAAAGGGTTGAGCCTCAGCATGTCAGGGTTCATTCCTTGCTGATCCTGGAGGGGCCCTTAATTAAACATTCCTACTGAATTTGCTTCTTTCCAGCGGAAAGAAAATTATTTTTTTTTGGGATTCCCTTCCTTGGTATGTCATATCGAAGTGGCATGACTTTTCTTTGCTGGGCTAATCAAATTCCCCGCAGACTGCATTTCGAGAGAGAAGAGAGAGGGGAGAGAGAGAGAGAAGAGAGAGAGAGAGAGAGAGAGAGAGAGAGAAAAGAGAGAGAGAGAGAGAGAGAGAAGAAAGAGAGAGAGAGAGAGAAGAGAGAGAGAGAGAGAATTTTTTTTTTTGCCCGCTCATGTATTTCTGAAGCTGCGTCCCTGACCTCACCGAGGATAGGTACACTCAGACACATTTTCTCCCAGATTTTTTTTCTCACTCACGACATTCAACAAAAGAGAGGGCTGAAAGTTTTCAACTGGTTTACCTTAGACAGTCTCTAATTTTCCTCCAAGCGTAACACGACTTGTTTACTTCTCTCATAATGATAAAACAAAAAAAGATATAATTTTTTAAACAAATATCTTTTATCTTTCAACTTTTAAAACCTTTAAAATTTTACACACACACATATATATATATATAAAAATATATATTTTAAATATATATATATATATATTAAAATATTATATATAATATATATATATGTACTTTGTTTTGCAATACATATGCACTATACACACATAAGCCTTGTATACAGTTATATTATCACTTCCTTACCGAACACACAACACTCGGTATTGTTTTAAATGACGGGTACACGGCTTCCCGTAAAGAAAAATTTTTTGGGGGCAGTGCGCAATAAAGCAAAAAGATAAAAAAATATAAAAAAAAAG